TGTCCCGTGTTAAGGGCCTACTTCAGGCTTATTGAGCCATCTATTACCACATAGGTTCATCCTCCCCATGACAGCTATTGCTTCAAGGTATGATGGAAGAACTGAACCTAGACCTTCTCGATGTGCTTGAAAACAAGAATGTTGAAAATGAGGGGAAGGATTTGTAAGACATGAAATATCAGTCTTTTCTGTCAAACACTATAAAACTTTGACTTATGGGAAATTCAACTTACAAGATTCACAAGATGTATGGCATGTAAATAAAAGGTATGGATTGCTTGGGAAGAGACATTAGTTGAGCTGCCTGAATGTCATACAGGGAGCTATAGGGATACACATATTTTGAGTTCTTGCCTGTGTTAGAGAGGGCCTTTTCACTCTGATGTTACATTTGACTCATCCATGTTTCTGTATGTAATCCTTCAACCACACCCCTGTCAGTAACTCCAATAAACTCTTTGGTTAATGAACTTGGACTGTGGTGAATGCTTTGCCTTGGTCAGTCATTAGTGTCCTATGTGAGGTGAGCTGTTTTCTTCTCCCAAGGAAAAGTCACACTGTAGACTGAGTTCAAGGTATCAGACAAGACAACTTTGATATCAGCCATAATTGTTAAAAACACTAGCTCTGCCTTTAGTCCTAGAACTTGGGAGGCAGAGGCAGGCGGATCTCTGTGAGTTCAAGGCCAGCCTGGTCTACAGAGCAAGTTCCAGGCAGCTGGAGCTACAGGGAGACCCTGTCTCAAAAAGACCAAAAAAAGCCTTGAACCAAGACCACACCTAAATGAGGCTCTAGCCTGTGGAGGTGCAAATTCATTTGAAAGGAGGGAGCCTAAGTGAGAATGCCAAGAAAGCTGTTCCCTGCTCCAAAACACCCTCTAGTGTCAGCACACACAAGGTCCCCAGGGTCAACTCAAAGGACAAAGATATTGTGGTCTGGGGGCATGGCACCATCCAAAATGGAAGCAGAACTTGGAAGTCCACATGGCAATTGTTGTGTAAATGTTCAAGATGCAACATCGAATGTTCCACAGACCTTTGCACCACAGTTCCAGAGAGCTACTTAGGCCAGGAAATTTGTGGTGTTCTCAGAGTACCTACCTCAAGTTCCTGAGAGGCCACTGCATGAATCAGTGAAGGTGAAACTTAAGTTGCATTAAAGCTCCAGTATGTGGAATTGTCAGAATCATAGGCTGTCTACAGAGGAACCCTGGGCGTGAGGATCTCACCCCAGAGATAGGCTGTCTGTGCTTCAGGCACTAGAGATGGAGGGTTACAGTAGCCCACCATTTTGGAGTACCAATGGTTCCATCTGGAATTTCAGGTGCCATATACACAAAGCTTAGGATATGGTGTTTTCCCTTCCTGATTTCTGTCTTACTTCCTCTCTTTCCTTGGTTTATGCCTATTGCTCCCCTTTGTAATGGTGTACAAATAACCAACATAATGTATAGAAGAAAAAGGGTTTTGAGCTTATTGTTCCGGAGGGTTAGAGTCCATTATTTGGGGGAGTAATGGCAGCATAACTGGTCAAGGCAAAATGCGTAACAGTCATGTATTCAAGCAGGCACAGAAAGCAGAGAGAAACTGGGAATCTGACCTAGGCCTAAGAACTCTCATCCCCCGACCCAGTGACATGCTTTCTCCAGCAAGGGCACACCTTCTGGAACCTCCCAAAACAGCACCACTAACTGGGGACAAATGTCAAAATACATGGAGTTTCTGTGGGGACATTCTCATTCAAACCACCACATTCCACTCCTTGGTCCCCATAGTCCCACAACTATATCGTAATGTAAAATCCATTTAATACCAAAAAGTCCCCCAAACAGACTCAACATTATTTAAGATTCCAAAGCCAAAAATCTCTTTTGAGACCCAAGGCAATCTCTTAACTGTAAGCCCCTACAAAATCAAAAGACAAATTACACACTTCCAACAGAGATTCAAACACACCTTCCCATTGGAAAAGAGAACAATGGAGCCATAAGAGGAAATACTGAACCGAATGAAACAAGATCTAAATCCAGCAGGGTAAGCACCACATCCAGTAGCTCCGTGTCTGACTGCTGTGACTTTACTTCAAAGGGACTTAGATAGCTCAGCCATTCGAGGTTGGGACAGGTCTGAGAAGCAGCGTATACGTTGTGTTGAGGTGAGAAGATCTATCCTAAATTAGGGAAGCATCATTCTGTGTACCTGATTCATAAGCTGAGTATTAAAAAGAACACAGTATGATGGAGCACCAGCATCCATGTCTCTGTTCTATTATTCTGCATGCAGGGCCCCCTCAGGTCCATTTTTCCAGGCATTC